AATAGACACCGGGAATGGGGCAGGAGCGTGGCCCGGTGTGCTGTAGACTCTGATGGTTGTATTTTGGACTTGATGCCTTGTGTAGCCGAGTTGGATAAATGCTTCACCTGCTTCTTCTGGACAGGCAGAGAAACTGTCTGTCCCTTCCTCTTATACCCTCAAGTTCTTGCTTCACACTGTAAGCACTGATCAGTGAAAAGATGGAAAGCGAACTCCTCCTTTTAGAATGGCTTTGATAGTATTAGCAAGCAGCAATATTTCCTTTTAATATGCTTAGAGGACTCTGAAAACAAGAAAAAATAAGACGAAGTATTGCCTTTTTTATATAAAAAAAGCTAGTCATTTAATCATTTAAAAATGACTCTACAAGATAACAAACTGTAATACAGGCTTGCAATAAAGGTTCCTCTTTTGAAAGCACGAACTATCAACATAACCACTAACCTTCAAAACACTTTTTCACTTTCTAAGAATATACAGTGAAAAAAACAGACAAGGAAATCCAAAAGAATCCCAAACAACACTAGTACAAAACAGGTTCACGTGGATTGCTTTTTGGCAACTGGCTATCGGTTACAACAGGATAACCACCCTTTCTGGATGTCATGCCAGAGCCAAGCCCTGGAGCCAATTCTGGGTCAGCTGAGGTGGTGCTGGCTCCTGCTGGCCTTCTGGGAACATTCTGCAGACTCTGGAAGCGACATTATGGTAGCTTCGCTCTGAGACAATACATTAAGGCTGCAAGATTTCATACACTGCTGAAACGGTTTTGTTGTGCAAGACAACAAATCCCATTTCAATAAGGCACGCGTTCAGATACAAACTGGGAAAGCGAAGTTAGGCAGAAGCGCCTGTTTTCTAGGTGCTACTGATCTCACGAGCGTGTATTTACCAGTGATCCCCTCGCTGATGCAAACTCAGAACACATCAATGTGGGGCTACCTTGAATTATGCAAGGACAGTAGTGTTTCTGCTTTAAAAACACCAGAATCACCTGGAATTTACCTGAGCTACTGCCCACTTTGAAGCGTGGCTTCTAGTCTGAGGACCACAGGCAACTGGCGTCCTGTGCCTTATTTTTATGGGGTTCACAAAAGGCAATGAAGACAAGTAAATTTATACGCGTTTTGCAGCAGCCAGCATACGTGTAATTTCTAAAGGAGTCTACCACTCTGCTAACAATTATTAAGGGTCTAAATTGAAAATTACTGGGTGGGATTGTGTGTACTTACTGATGCAATGTCCCTGTTAAAATGGGAGGTCATTTTAGGCATTTTAGTGTAGTGCAGAAGGACCAGCGCCTATGCAACACACTTTGGAAAAAAGCCCAACAGTTGAATGGAAGTCAGAATTGCAATAGATGCAATTAATTCCCAAGAATATGTCCTAGAAAAATAAGTGCTATTTCTTCATTAAATTGTGTATATGCTATAGAGATGTTTAAATATCTGTTATTTCAAATTAAGCTGTTTTCTTTCCATATGAATTACAAGTTGTATGTAAGTCCCTCTGGAAGGCACTGGTATTTTGAGACATAGCTCATCTGCAGCCTCAAAGATAAGCCCAGTGGATCCTGAGATGCTCTCAGGATAACGCTGAGGCTATGAACAATAAGGCTTTCGAGCCTTACTGTTAAATTTAATTGCCAATGCAAGGTCATACAAGGTAAATGTGTATGAATTTACATTGCTGGGAATCCATCCATGTTTTGAAATCCCATGTTGCACAGTTATAAGAAATAGTGAAATTTAACTGCCATAAGATATTAAGTATATACGATTCTGCCTTCCTCCTTAGAAGGTTCTGTATCTTACATGGCCTAAAAATGTTTTTCTCCCAAATGCTGTATGCCTTGCTTGATGTGTTGCTTGTTGCAGTTGTGCATATATGCTACTCAGAATGATCGAATGCTGTACATAACAAAGTAACATCAAGAGGAGAGTTAAATTTCTTGGAATTAACCTATAGAAAGTAATTTCTAAGAAGGGAATGGAGTTCTATGAGAACTATTACACTTGCTTCATGGATTGCTACAAGTAGGTTTCACAACTAAGTCCATGTGCCAAAATCAAGATGGAATGAAACAAGAAGAGTGCAGCATCCAGTTAACAAATATACTGAGGAAAGAGGCAGTATATACAAAAGATACGTACTGCTTACCCGACGCATAATTTTTAAGGTGCTTAATTGATGTTTTAGGGAATGTAGCAACATATACATATATGCAGTGTATACATATCTAAATGTGTATTAGAAACATACAGAACCAGATATATTCCCAGATCCCTGATTTCATTAGATTCTCTAATGCATAAGAATGTATTTAAAATATTTCATAAAAAATATCTAAAAAAAATAAATGATAACATTTACATAAAAATAGCTCCAGTTTTTTTGCTTTTCTGTTTCGCTGCTCCTGGATTGGATCCCACTGGGTTTCATAAGGATGCCATTTGGACCAGTGAGAGTTTGAACAACTGTGCATGACGAGACAGCTCTGTTACTCGGTCCACCATCTTCTGGAGGGCTGCTGTGTTGGGGTAATGCAAGGCAGCCATCTTGGTAGCCAGAACAACACTCTTCAGCAGTTCACACAACTGGTTGCTGGAGTTCATCACTTTGTTGCGTGTGTCCTGAGTTGTCACTTGCCTCGTGAGCATGTCCCCAATGAACACAAGTTTGTGAGCGCTCAAAATGACAAATTTGCTGTGAGCCACGAAGATTCGGGGGGGCTGAGAAGTGTTGACACAACTGAAAAAGGCATCGATGGCATTTAGGAGGGAGTTGAAGTGAGTCTCACATTGGTCAGAATAGAATAACAGCAGCTGGCTGTCATGGGAGGTGGCGGTGCTGTTTGCAGTCTGGAGAGCTTGAGGCGGCTTCCATTTTGAGATGTCGTTCTCTACCGGCTTTGTGATCTCTTGCTCCAGACGTTGAAACTGATTAATCTGAAAGGCAAATAAAAAGGCTCTCTTCAAAGAATATTCTTGTAACACGTTGTTACGTATTACAATTTCACCTTATGCCTCAGGATACCCCTGGGTATCCTATATTGGCCTTATGCTAAATAAAAACTAGTATATGTGTTTTCTAAGATCTTTTATTTTGGAGAGTGAGGGGTAATCAAGTGCTTTGGCTACCATAAATCCAAACACACAGAGTTCAGAAGAGAAAAACATCTAAAATACTTTATTTGCATTTTAAAAAAAAAACCTCCTGAATTTACAGGCTGTCGCTCATTTGGAATATTCTGAAATCACAGGCGAGAGAGATGGATCCAAGTGGCAATGACTCCTACACAATCTTTAAAAAGCTGCCATCTCTGGGGGATTTTGAGATGACAAATCTTTAACTCTAACCTCCACATTGCTTGTACAATTTTCTGCCATACGATATGGCAACAACAAATTGAAGAATTAATATGAGGGCCAAGTGACAGCCCTCAATCTTACATGACCTGCTTTTTTAGCACTTAAAGTGATGTTAAGCACAGGATTTAAGTTAATGGTATTGATGTTCACTGAACAGCTGTGCAAGTGGCATGTGTATTCAATGTGGTCCGGTGATTAAGGCACTTGGCTTTCCTGACCTGCAATCAAGCTGGCTTTGTGACTGATCCACTGTGAGACATTGCAGAAGTCTGTTTCTCCTCTGTGGTAAATTTTTGGAGACAGAGACTGCTTTTTATTACGCGTATGCACTGGGCCCATCGCAATGGTGCATTGTATAAAAAAAAATAATTAGTCTCTTAAATTGAGATGGCTGGAAATTGTTTTCAAGGGAAAGGCTTATTCCTGCCACAAAAGATGTCATTCCAAACAGTGAGACCTGTGGCTGTGCTTCCACTCAGTTACTAAAAGGCAACAAGGAACTGAACAGGGCAGAGATGCTGCAGAGATAGCTACTCTGCAGGAAATACTTAAGCTGTCTCTGGCATAAGCAATCGCTGACACCGATGCACAGGGCCAGGAAGGTGCTTGATGCTCACCATTTCCCATTTGGAGCATGACTGTGCATGTCCTTGTCCCTTCCATTGATAAATCCATTAATGGTGGAGCCTGACTGGCACAAATCCCACTTGGTAAGAAACTAACCTGGAGCCACTGTTTAGCCAAGACCTAATACCTGCCATCTTCACCATCTAGCACCTGGGACTTTGCAACTGCATGTGCTGGCACTCATGGACACCTCACAGCCATGATGCTAGCAGTTGCACACTGCTAAGGGAAGGGCCCCTCCCGCTTTATTTGATCAGTACTCCTATGCGCAAGGAACACTGCATTTCAATGTGATTATTGCACCTGAGCGAACATACCTGATGGTGCTCTAGCTCCACTTTGCTCTGCTTGATGATATTTTCTTTTTCCAGCAGCTCCTTCTGTTGCCTTTCAAACTCTTCTTTCCCCTGTTTTGCATAATATAAGAAGACACTGTGTTAAACCAAAACCGCTCCTGAGCTAAATGACAACTCATAGGTCAAATAACAGGCTGCTTTGTATTGGCTTTTTCACTGGTAGTGCACCACTAAGAGTATGGAGAAGAAAAGCATAGCGTGGCAGAGTAAAAGGCTATTGCTATTACGTATCCAACAGTCCTATTTGAGAGCAAGTAATTGCCCTGGTGAAATCACTCTTGAATGTGTACTAGCATGACAATCTGATTGCTACCTTCCTGGGAACAGCTTTCGCAAACAGAAGCATCAACAACTCCTACTTGGCCTTGTGCAGACAAAGGTGTTGGGTTTACCTACCTGCAGGTGAACGTAATCGTAGTCATCCATCCAGCTCTTTTCTGAGCTCTCACTGGTGGTATTGTGAGGGTGCTGATCTTTACTCAGGAACGGCGGAAGTGAACTGCAGTGGTTCTGTGCTTTCTCCCCATGATGCTGCATATGAGGATTGTCATATACATAGTCAGCAGTGTTCATTATATTCTCCGGTATGTTTTTGAAACGTGAGCTGCTCAACGCCTGTTTGAAGAGCACCTCTGCATTGATGCTGATGGTAGTGGTCAGTTGCTTGGCATCATCCGGGACTGTCCTTGCCACCATAACAAACCGATCCAGGTCATCACACTTGTTCTGCAGTCTGTTGACAGCTAGAACATTCAAAGACCAGTTATAGCTGTTTAAGTCGTGACTGGTTTGGGTAAGGATCTGGTGAGAGTCCTCCAGCCTTTGCACCTCCCTCCTCATTTTGTTAAGGAGGCTGAACTCGGATAGGCGGGAAGCATTGGCTGCTGATCCTTTTGCAAACTGGAGGTACTCCAGCAGTGACTGCTCTACCTTATCCACAGCAGTGTGAATTTCATTGATGTGTTTCTCCATATATCCATAAGACCGCCAGTCTGCTGTAATGAAGGCCAGGAGGTTATTGACAGCTGTCTCCACCATCTGCTGGAGGCGATAAAGCCTCTCTATAGCAGTGTCTGGATCAAGGATTAGTCTTTTGTCCTGTGCAGTTGATGCTGAGAAAGAAGAGTCTTTTGATGTTGTTGAAGATGTGGACATGTTACTCCTTGTGCTTCCTGTGCTGGAGAAAGACAACCTATTTATCCCATCAGTCACGTCCTGTAAGCCTTTAGTGTCTTGGAGGACGGGTGGTGGCACATCATATACACCTTCTCTTTCTTCTGGGATGAGACTTTCACTGAGTCCTGTCTGTTGTCCTGGGAATGCAATTCCCCTTGGGGTATCATAAACATCTTTTTGAGGTGCAATTTGCTGTCCAAGAAAATGGTTTTGATGGTTCATAGGGATGTCATAAACACTCTGTTTCTGTGACACTCCATCCGGCAATAAAAGGCTCTCAGGAGAAAATTTATTAAGTTCTTTCCCAGTTGCTTTGGTGATGGGAGGAGGAATATCATATACTCCTTCTGGTCTTACACTGTGGCCCACTGGAGACGAAAAATCCTGCAAATTTTCCCTCAGGCCTGTATCGTTTCCGCATGCAGATGGAGGTGTAGCATAGACCTGAATCACAGAAAGCAAACCATGAAACCTTTGGCTAGAATAGCAAAATATTTTACATCTTCTGTATGGCCTATAAAATGCTGGGATGGAAGATCTGCCATTGACTTTCATGGAGTCAGCTACTTATCCTGAGTTTGACTGAGCATCAGTTCTAATATCTCACTTTTTAACATTCATCTTGATGCAAATTCTCATAAGCAGCAAATCCAAAAAGGCAGCATGCTGCCACAAGGATAATGTAGGTCTAATTATCAATTCACACTCCATAACGTTAATAATTTTGACGCAGTGCTTCACTTTACCAGTTTTAACAGTTAAAAGGAAAAATCTTTAAAGTACTGAATCTCCTTCTCCTTCAGGATCATACAAGAACTCTTGTTTAAACATGTCCTTGGTCAGACATGAAAATACAGGATCTTGTGGAAACAGCGTAATACTTACCCCTTTGGCAGGTGGTATGTCATAGATTCCTAAAGCTTTTGCTTCTCCCATGGGAACTGGAAGTGCAGGCCCCTTAACCGATGTGGGGGGAATGTCATATATCTAAAGAAAGAATAAATTGCTTACAGAAACAAGTCACCTTAGGAAAGCTCTGATCTCAGATGAGTTTTCTTGATTTCTGTGTTTCCTCTCAAACAGCCTGAAGATGATCAGAGCTCTTCAACTTTGTTTCACATGGGAGAGCTGCTTGGATTTGCCTGGTATTTTGGACAGTTAGGAGGAAATGCACTTTGCTAGGTCCCCCCCCGGGCAATTGTGTGAACGGCAGGCTGGAGAGATGAAGTAACGGCTGACTTCCATCCCAAGAGTTAAATCAAGCCCAGTTCTATTACAGACACCTGTTGGGGTGAACAGGGGAGCAGTATATTCATGTGAACAGAACTGATCGCATCCTTACTGATAGAGGTTAGAGGCGTTGAGGAATAAGCTTGTACTAGTACACACTAAACTCTCTGAAACTAAGGCTGCCCCTGTCAGCATTGCCTACCTGCTTTATTGGGTGCAGTGCGAGCTGTCTTACTAGCAGAAAGTACAGCTGTAAGATGTTTCAAGTGTCCCACTTGGTGGCGTGTCCTAGATTACAGTGGGTTCTGCGTGTGGTCTAAGGCCACTGCCTGAATGTCTCTTAACCCAGACTTCCCAACAGTTCCAGCCATTTGGTGTCAGTCTGTGTTATGTACTATTAGCCTTCAATGTTGTTCCCTAGAGGAGCTGCTCTGTCAAAGAGCCATGGAGAGATGCAGGGCTGTTGAGTTACAGGTCCTGCAAGCATCCACTCTAGATGTCTGTGGTCTTGGGGATTGAATGCTAAGGGCGTTCCCCAGAGCAAAGATATATTTCAAGTTCAGTGACATGTTGCAGTAGATATGTGGTGAAAACAATTCCCTGCATAGTAGCTGTTCATCTAGGCGATAATTTTACCCTTACTGAGTGCATTACTGTCAACTATGCAACAACAAAGTAAAGGAAAAAAATTGTTCCCAGGCAGCAAGTTTATTCTGTTTAGATACACTCTTTGATCAAAACACAGAAAACAAATGGGACTTCTGCGCTTGGTGTGCTGCCAAATCTTAGTCAACATCAAATACAACTTTGAAATACTTCCGTGCTCTGTGAATAAGCCACTGCATCTAATTAAAACATATTTTCTCTCTGAAATGAGAGAACTTGCTTTGCTCATAAACTTCTGGTAGAAATTCATCACCTTTTGTGCCCTCTCAGCGGTGTTGGCAGTTTTATTGGTACTTACCCCTTGGAGAGGGCGAACAGGGGGGATATCGTAGGTATCCTTCTGGTATTTGGAAGGGAATTCATAAACATAACCTTGTCCTGACCTGACTGGAGTTATTACCTGTGGGATAAAAGAAAAAGAGGAAACAAAAGTTTTTGAGGATCTTGGCATGTTCTCTCTGTAACTGCACAGGGTATAAACAATCCAGTATGATTAACATTCACACTTTACGTGGCGATGTTAGTAACACAAATCTACATACACTTCTGACAGTTAAAAAATTACTAAAATTACTATTAGTACCTACAAATGCACCATCTTTCCCTTCCAGACCAGTTCTGACACGGCTGCTTGCTAGTGCTACAGTATCTCCTGTTTGTCAAGCACAGATTCTCCAGCAGGTCTAAGACAGCTTGGTCCCTTCTTCCCATTGATCCCCCATTAGCACAGACCACACGATGTGATGGTTACACCACCCACTTGCTGAGATCAGAGCTATGTACATTCTGCTCCTCTCACTGAGGTGCTGGGTATCCCCACTTAATGACAGAGGCTTAAAATACTACGTTCAGGCTCTGAGAGTCTTCCCCCTTTGCTTGTGGAGATATTTCCCACCTACTCCGGCAGGACGTCTTGTGTTACTGTGCTCCATAGCACAACGTCCTGGATGACTGAGTGCGAGCTCTGGCTCTGGAAATTCTTCACATAGAAAGGCTATGCTTAAACCTTCTAAAGCGGGACATTCAATTACGCTGTCTCCGTTTGGTTTGTGTATATTAGTGGCTAAGAGATAGGAAATGTTAAGCCATTCTTGAATTATATAATGCAAGAACAGCCTCGGGAAAAAAAAAGCTTAGAATTTACATTTTTTTGACATTTTTCTAAACCATTAACTACCATAATGACTTCAAATAAAATCTGGTGAAAAATAAATGCCTTATGTCTTGGACAGCATCTGCATGGCAGAATTTCAGTATAGTGTGGTATAAAAGCAATGTTACCTAACCCTCAGAAAGAGCTGGGTTTATAGTGGAAATGCTGACATCTTAACCTCTGCTGGTGCTACTTAGCTCTAACAAAAAAATATAAATACTGTAACTCAAAGGCATAAAATGACAAATTACATATGCCCATACAAGATATGGCTTTGTGCTCAGCTGGGGAGAATTCTATACCAGAGCTACCTAACTGTCTTTAGAAATGTATGCAAGACGTAGAACAGAGTTTCTGCCCAAATGCTCAGTAAAGATCCTGTAACAGTTTTTGCTGTAAGGAATCCTAGCATCCTGGCCAGATTTCACAGTGAGTTTTGCTTGACTGAGGTCTGCAGGGAAAGTCCCTGATGCTAACCTGCTACCTCCTCTCTGCTATGTTAACATCATAGGCTTTTCTTCTTTCTACTTGCTGCCCAAATATTGCTGTGTAATCTCTGGGCCCCGTACCATGAAACAATCACTGGATTTTCCCTGAGGTGACTGCCATACCAGTTTACAGTCTGATTCAATGTGAGTAGCCCAAGGCAGTGCGCCTGGTAGTGCCAGCTACTGCACTGACTGTGTGTGCCTCAGGTGAGGGAGGAACATCCATGCCTGGCAGGCGGGGGAATGCAGTGGTTTTTGCAGCTGCTTTTCCTTGAATTAGCATCAGAGGACAGGGAAGACAGGAACTGGAAGCGATATGATCTCCATAGCATCCGGTCAGTTCGCTGCCCGTGACAGAACTCAAAGGTTAATAGGGCTTATATACATAAGAGTTTTTTAAAAAGAATCTAAAAATGTATTGAATTTATGACAGACTGCTCCTTTCCCACAGAGTCACTTACCGTGACTAAAAGAGATCTACAGACAAAACTTTTAAGAAAGTTCTCCCTTAAGTTACTGGAAGTTCCCATAATGAATCACCCCAGACATCATCCCTCCCAGGCCATTCTCATGTAATACTGGGATTATGTTGTTTGTCTGCGAAACTTTTAACTTGTATCAACATCGCTTCCTCATGCTTTTTCTGTCAGTGAGGGCTAGCGATCAGACTAGCACAGTTTGCCATATACTTTTTGCATCCTTTTTTTTTTCAGTTCGGTGCTGCCAGTCAAATGCTTTCCACCCAAGTCAGGAACAGAAGGATTTGGTTTTAAGCAATGTTTCTCCAGAGGTTCCTTCCAGCGGCTCCAAAATTACAACCATGGTGTTGCTTCAATAACAAGTCACTGGGTGTTTAAAAATGATCCTCCAGGAGAATCATAGAATCAT